TATAGAAACTGAATTTACGTCTTATATATGTTATATAATATATACATATTATCTATTATATATATAATCCTGAAGACATAAATTCAGTTTAACCATTCTTAGTAAAGATAAAAGTCAAAGGCCGAGGAGTTTGAGCTGGAACCCGGGGGTTTTTTAACCTGTCTTTTCCTTTGTGAAAAGCCGCATTCCTCGCAGGGATATTAACATCTCCTGAAAAGGGCTATCAAAGCTTTTAACAAAAGGGCCCTTAAAAAGGCAAAAGCTTGTTCTGATCACCACTTGGTCACTGTTAACCTCACATTAATAAGGTCAATAGATTCTAGGGCAAGAACTTAAGCTTAAGTGCTCCTGAAGCAAGAAGGAAGTGTGGTCTAGCGCGGGTGCGGAGAGCTCCTGAATCAACACCAGGGACGTAGCTCGTCAATTTCAGTAGCTGAGAAAAAGAGAGACGGAAGAGTTACCCAAAGGGCTTAACTGAACTTTTTTGTCGGAAACCTCCTGGAGAGCGCCTAATTGATGCCTTTGTTGGTTTGGTGACATTCTGTCTCACTCTGGTTTTCTTTTCCATCTGAACCTCCTGCAGCTATCAATGGGCTTGTTAGGTTTTGGCTTCGTGGCCACGTACCTTCCGGAGGCTGCAATCAGCGCTTACCTGGCTGCCGCGGCTTTACACATTATTCTGTCCCAACTGACTTGCATCTTCGGGATTATGATTAGTTTCCACGCTGGTCCCATCTCCTTCTTCTATGTGAGTAATTTCTACCCTCACCCCGAGACACAGGTGCCCCTCGCCTTGCCTCCAAAAGGAAGTGGACCCGAGTGGAGAGACTGCTGCAGAGGCGGCTGGGTCAACAAGGTCTTAGAAATAATTTCATCTCTTCTAGATTTACAGTCTTAATTAATTGCAGATGCCGGTGGGATCACGTTCTCAGTTGCACTAACCATTTTGCCCAGTCCTTTAAACAAACATGATTTACATTAAAATTAGGTTTTTAAAATACTGTAACGTATCATAATGCTTCCTATTAATTGCCTCATAGCAGACCTGTATCCTAAAACATCTAAAGAATATAAAATGCTACGTAGTCCCTTAATGCAAGAATGGCATAGGAGCCGTACTAAAGATCATCAATGGTCTAGAAAAATTAGTAAAGAATAGGCTGATAAACAGAACTGCTGGGTCCTTTCCCTTACACTGAAACATGTAAAGTGTATTTTCTCCTTATCGGGCATTATTATCTTTTAATATCTCTTTTTCAACTTAAAAAAAAATGTATATCCTCCCATTTGCCCTCACTGTGCTAGTAATGCTCATAAAGACATTTGTGCCCAGAGACACTGCCTAGGGATTTCTTTTTGAACTAATCTAGAGAGAGTGTCATTTTTTAGATAAAGGCAATTATCATACCCCCTTCTAAGCCTTTGTAATTTTGTTTTCTTTCAGAACATAGTTAACTACTGTGTAACCCTCCCAAAAGCTAATTCTACCAGCATCCTACTATTTCTAACTGCTGTTGTTGTGCTGAGAATCAACAAATGTATCAGAATTTCTTTCAGTCGGTACCCAATCGAGTTTCCCATGGAAATTTTTCTGGTAGGTATTTTGATGCTCCAAATTCATGGTTTAGATCATTTAAAAGACCTACTTTCTAAAATTAATTAATTATTAATTAATTAAAAACCAAGCAAACTAGAAAGGGAAAGGATTAGAGGAGACTATAAAAATAATGATTTTTTAAAAACATGTTGAATTGTGACAAAGTGGAATACATTTAATTTTAAATACTAGCTTATATTTGTAAAACATGCTTATTTTTAAAGTAAATTTCTCTATTGCCTCTTTCATACTATTTCAGAAATAGGGTTTTTCTCTTATGGAAATAACCCAGGTTCATTCTAGCTTTTTTTTTTTTTTTTTT